GTTTGGGGATACCACCCAACCCGACAGTTAGTATTCTACTGTTCGGTTTCTGGATTTGTACCTTAAGCGAAGGCTAGTTTAAGAGTTGGTAAATCAATCGGAATATGTACCTTAAACTAATGACCTAGCTTAAGAGTTGGTTAGAAGTACCTTAAACTAGAAATAGTTTAAGAGTTGGTTAGAAGTAACTTGAACTAGAATTAGTTTAAGAGTTGGTAAATATTAAAAGGATTGACCTTAGACTAAATATGGTTTAAGGATATTGTTGAATATGGAATATGAATGTTGAATATTGATATTGAAATAAAAACGTTGAATGAATTATATATTGTGTGCATGATATCAAATGCTTATTTATGAATTGAGATTCAATTTATGTGGATGTTCGACGTTTTAGATATGCTTACTCGGCTTCATCGCTGAGCGTGTAGTATGTTTTATTTGCTACATGCAGGTAGGCAGAATGAATGATTGGCATGTTCCTGGTAGCGGAAGGGGCGAGATTGTCGTGGTGGAATTTGTGACTTTAAATAAATAATTATGCTGTTATTAAACATGATTTAAATTGCTTCCGCACTATTGTTAAATACTCCGTATTTTGCTACAGTTATGTATTAAATAATATTTATGCTAAATAAAAGTATTTGAAATGTTTTAAATTTTACGATTACCAAGTTAATAATTTAGTCCGAAAGGGGCTGCAGACCTGGACGGATTAGGGTGTTACACCAAAAGTCAAAACGGGCGATTTAAATTGGGACGGAGGGAGTATTTGAATTTGTATTTGTATCTGAATAACGCGAATTTGAATCATCATATTCAAATACGAATCGCGAATCGAATTTAAAATATTTGATTTGTTTACATCCCTAAATTCTCGAGGTAAAATATCAAGTTTTATCAATTCATTTTATTTACAAATTCGTATAGAAATAAAAAATAAAATTTACATGTCAAAAAACTACATGAAAAAGCAAGTGTGATAAATATTTTGGGACGGGGGGAGTATTATTTTTGTTATACACAACTAGTATTTCACCCGTGCGTTGCACGGGAAAATATTAATTTTACAATTTAAGATGAATATAATAAATGAAAAAAATATAAAAACTTAAAATGAATAATATTTGAAATATAATTTTGTGTGTGATGACCGATATATAATTTTTATATTATATATATATATATATATATATATATATATATATATATATATATATATATATATATATATATATATATATATATATAACATAATATGGTTGTGCAGGTGAGGTGGCGGGTGAAGTTTGTTTTTGTAAAATAGAGTAATTGTGGAAGTAATAATGTAATTAATTGATTTTTAGAGTACTCTTGTAAAATCAGAAATTTTTTGGAGTATTGTCGTAAATTTTTCTAGTTTATTATTTGATTTTCCTTTTTTTAGCGGCTTGTTTATTTTCCTTTTCAAAAATGCTAAGTGTACCCCAAAGCTTGCTCACCACACAAATATTAGAAATGCCAGATTTACAAACAAAATGGTTACAAAATTTATAAACTTACTATTTGTGAAGTTCAATAAAAAAATTAAAGAGTTTAAAATAATTTTAAAATGAAAATTTAAACCATAAATGATAAGTTTGTGAAGTTTATTACTATTCTGTTCGTGAATATAACATTACTCCACAAATATAGTGTTGATAAAAAAAATTTATTAGTGAATAATAAATGTACCCCAAACATCCCCACCCCAAAAGTGTACCCCAAACATCCATCACACTCTCTATCACCACAAAAAAAGGCAAGAAAAATTCAAAAAATAAAATAAAAAATAAAAACAAAATAAAATGAATGGTAGAAAGGGAAGTGATGTACATTTGGGGTACACATTTAGTGAATAATAAATGTACCCCAAACATCCCCCACCCCAAAAGTGTACCCCAAATATCCTCACCCTCTCCATTACCACAAAAAAAAGCAAGAAAAATTCAAAAAAAAAAATAAAAAAATTAAAAAAATAAAATGAATGGTAGAAAAGGGAGTGGTGTGCATTTGGAGTACACATTTGGTGTACCCCTAGCATATCATTTAAAATAGATAGTGTGCAAATGGAATAAGTGTACCCCTACTCCCTTAGCATGATTCATTTCTTTTTGAAATATGCTAGGGGTACACCAAAGGTGTACCCCATTTGTCCCTCACTTTACCTGTGCAAACAAGGGTCGGCCCGTCCGGCCCGCCCAGCCCGCCCTTTAAAGTGGGTGGATATGGACGATCTTTAATACCCACATGGGCGGGCCGGCCTAAGCCCGAAATGTATTTGGGCGGATCTGGAAGTTACATTTAGCCCATCCGGGCGAACAGGCCCGCCCATATTCATTAAACACATTTACTTCATTATTAATTACCTAGGCAATATAAATTTTAAAATTTTCTTTAATTCATGTATAATAGTTCATATCACTCACCCCTCTTAAACAAAAATAAATAGTCTTTTAATGAATGTGTATGATGGGTTTATTAATTACTCCCTCCGTCCTGAAATATTCGTCTAGTTTTGACTTTTGGAACTGTTCATCTAAGCACTTTGACTCATCAAATTCTCTCAATGTGTAAGTCTAAATATAGTCATGTATGATCTTGTTTGATTTGTCTTAACATATAGATTATTAATATATAATTTCTATAATTTTTTAATATAAAAATTACAAGATAAAATGGATTAAAGAAGTGTATTGGATGGTGTGTAAAAATGAAAGTGGACAAATACTCTGGGACGGAGGTAGTATGTAACAATTTTTCTATTATGTTTTCTATGTAAGTGTGGCGAGTGCTAATTTTATTTTAAACATTTGAAAACGAGTTCAATATTTTCTTTTTGATTTTTTTGTGTAAAAAAGATTTTCTTGATGTTTTATCCGGGCTGGGCGCCCCGGTGGGCAGTTCGGCCCGCTAAGGTGGGCGGGTATGGGTAAAGAGTTTAGCCCATCAAATCCGGGCCGGGTCAAGCCCGCCCACGCAAATGGGCTAAAAATTTGTATCAAGCCCGACCCAGATCCAGCCTGAATCCTTATTTACACAGGTCTATCCCTCACCCCCTCCATTACCACATAAATGGGCAAGCACTTTAAAAAAAATTAAATAAATAAATGATAGATAAAAATGGATTGTGGAGAAGGGGGTGAGGGGACAAATGAGGTACACTTTTGGTGTACCACTAGTATTGTTCTTTGTTTTTTTGTTTGAAAGACTAATGGAACTCCAAAGGTAAGAAGCGGGAAAGCTCGGCGAAAGTGTCCCATCAATATTTGAATTTGAATTTGAACGGTACCCTAACTTTGTTTCGTCAGTCAAAATAATTACTGTAGTTTTAAAATAAATGCGGACCAATCCAATCCGACGACACAGAAACTCGGAAGAAAAATACGGAAAGAAAACTCTTTCCATACTTAGCTCACTCTCCCACCTATCGCATTTACTTGCAATTTTTTTCCTCTTTCCATTTTATAAATAATACACCCAGATCTTCTTTCACCTCAACCTTCAAGAACCCGATCCCCCCATAGAAAAAAAAAATACAGCAAAAAAGTATTTTCTTGGGTCAATTCTTGAGTTATTTTTCTGCTATGCATCAAGAATTGGAGCGGTCAGTGTAGCAGAAAAGAAGCACTAGTTCAGAGAATAGAGCATAGGGAGGGTCAGCGGTTCGTTTTCACTGGAAAATCCCAAAAAGGTATGATTTTTTATTTAATTTTTGGGGTTTAACTCGAGGGTTTTACCAAATCTTGAATTTCCCTTTCCTATTGTAGATTCTTTTCTTGATGGCAGATTAATTACTGTTACTGGTATTAGTTTTTGGGGTCAATCCAAGTTTTCTGCATTTCTCGTCTCTGGGTTAAGTTAGACAGGTCTGTTGACTATCGGTTAATCTTGATTGTATTTTTGTTAATTTTCCTATATATAGTTCTTGATTTCATAAATTTGGTTTATAGAAATATATAAACATGTTCTTTTTCAATTATTTTTTTATTTTTTTTTTGAAATTTGAAAAGGGGCTATTTGGATTCTCTGGTTTGTTTAGGGTTTGAGTATATTGTTGCTTTGTTCAGGTAGGCAAGTAAGAAGATGGGAAGGAGCTTAAGCCCAATAGTGAGGAAGGAGTTGGAGAATCTTGACAAGGATGCTGACAGTAGGAAGTCAGCCATGAAAGCCTTGAAGTTGTATGTGAAAGATCTTGATTCCAAGGCAATCCCTCTCTTCCTAGCTCAGGTGTCCGAGACAAACAAGGAGGGCGGTAAATGTGCATCGCCAGCTGGCGAATACGCCATCTCGCTGTACGAGGTTCTTGCCCGCTTCCACGGGCCCAAAATCGTCCCTCAGATCGACAACATCATGTCCACCATCATCAAGACCTTGACTTCGAGCGCGGGCTCGTTCCCTCTCCACCAAGCCTGCGCGAAAGTGGTCCCGGCCATTGCGAGGTACGGGATGGACCCCACCACTCCTGACGAGAAGAAACGCCACGTCATCCGCTCCCTCGCGAAGCCGCTCACGGATTGTCTTTTGGGTAGTCATGAAAACCTCTCCTCTGGGGCTGCCCTATGCCTTAAGGCCCTTGTGGACTCTGACAATTGGCGATTTGCCTCAAATGAGACAGTCAACGAGGTGTGTCAGTGCGTCGCAGGGGCTCTGGAGAAGCACGGCCAGACCAACACCCACATGTCTTTGGTCACCTCTTTGGCTAAACACAACAGTTTAACAGTTGAGGCTTACGCGAGGCTGTTAATCCGATCTGGATTGAATATATTGAAATCCGTGAACGGGGAATGCAATTCTCAAAAACGTTTGTCTGCTGTTCACATGATAAACTCTCTGATGAGGTATCTTGATCCAAGAAGCATACTGTCTGAGGTTAGGGTGGTGATTGAGGAGATGGAAATGTGCCAATCTGAGGATAAGATGCTCTATGTTAGAGGGGCTGCATTTGAGGCACTTCAAATGGCCAAAAGGATAATGCACTTTGAGAAAGGGTCTTCAAGAACTGAGAATGACGTAGCCTCAGTCACTGACTCTAATTTTGACAGCCAAGAGTATACCAAGAGGAGGATCACGTTTGGTTCGGGTGATAGTTCACCCGATTCCCCTGAATCACGGACCATTGATTCTTTTCTCGGGTTTAATTCCTCCGGGGATATGAGTGACGGTCGTAGGAGCGCAAGTAGGAAACTTTGGAGAAGGCGCGACAATGGTGGTGTCGATGTTTCTCTCAAAGATGGGATCTTTTCTGAAGCCACTAAATGTTATAATGACATCCAGAACTCTGACAGTGATCGATTTTCTAACAATGGTGGAGATTATGGTGATGGGTTTACAGGGTTTTTTCCAGGGATGGGTCGCAATGGTTTTGCTAGGAGTGCCACTCCAAGCCCTCAGGTACCCCATTTTGAAATCTTCATTCTCAGTTCTGCACTTCATCTCTAGGAAATTTTTGGGGAATAAAAGATAAGAAAAAAACAATCATGATGTTTACCACATTATTTTAATCCATCCTTCAATATTTAGCTTGATTCAAACTCCATGCCACTTAAAATAATTGTTATGAAGGACCATATGTGCCTGCATTTTCTCATTTTTAAAGATATCCTGCATTTTCAACAAGCAAGTAATGAACCCTTAATGCTTGAAGTGCATATGTAAAACATGAACTCCACCGGTTTGACTGCAAGAGTATAAGCTGATCTGGAAAATGACTTTTTTGGAACATATGGTGTTCAATGACCCGCAGCATGAAAGAAAAAATAAAGAAAATTGTTAAAAATTGGAGTCATTTCCCAAAGAATCACCAACAAAGAAAATTATTTTAAAAAAAGGAACATTTTCCATGAAAATATTTTCTGGTCCTATTTTGATGTCCAGGGTAGTGAGATTTATCTTTTTGAATGTTGCAGAGGTCGCGATCCTATATAACCCCAGACAATGTAGCCATCTTCACAACTCCAAGAAAGCTCATACACTCACTTCAAGATGCACAGTACAGCAGCAGCCATGGCTCATCTGGAAAGCAAAGCAGAAGAAGGTATAAGAGCCTCTCTGCAAGTGAATTGGAGTGGAGCCCAGCCAAGTACATAGAAAGCTGCCTCTTGGATGCCCCAAAAAATGGCAATGACAACCCATTGTATGTTGGCAACGAAGAACCTTATGATCATCATCAAAACTCTGAATCTGTATCTTCTGCTGAAGAGGTCTCCCCTGAACCAAAACCTGAAAACTTCACAGACAATGATGATGGCTCTGGGAAAGAAACACCAAAACCCGGGTTTTATGTTCTGAAACTCAAGAAGAAATCTGTGAGGGCACTTACGATTTGCAGCATCTTGATTGTTCTGTTGGCTGTTCTTATGCTTCCGTGGATCAACGAAGAACAGCATGGGTACAATCTTGTTCCTACCTGAGTTTTGCTGCATTAGTATTTGTGTGACTTAGTATTTGAATGGTATGATTAGGTTGTAGTAGTCGTAGTAGTGCCTATACGCGTAGTAGTGCCTAAACGCGTTATTGAACTTTTTGTTATTCTGTGCCATGATTTCTACTTCAGGTAGAATCTGGTCTTGTACCTGACAATTGTTGTTATGTTCTTCAGAGGAATGTGTTCTTCATGTTTGACATATTGTAGAGCATGTGTAAACATGCTATTCTATTTGTCCTCTTACTTTGAGGGTCCACTCTACATGACAATTGTTCTATTTGGCAAGGGAGTCACTCCTTTAATACTCCCTTTGGATTCTTGACAGAAGATTTCATGGAATTTTAGGCAAATTTAAGAATGTTGGTTACTTTTCAAATGTGCCATTGACACTACAATTATTAAAGTGAGGTGGGTGAGATATTAGAGACAATGTGATAGATGTACTCATGTACATAAGGGAAAAAAGACTTTTGGATTTAAAAGGCTACATTTGGAAATGTAAAGAATCCAATGGGACAACAAAAAATGACAAGAATAAAGAATTTTATTCACTTTTATACTTTATATGTTCATTCAATTTGCAACTTGTTTTTTCTGGCCCTAAAATCAACAGGTGGATATACAATTTTTACACCCTCAAGAGTCAAGAGGTGGATATGATAATTTTGTTGCTTCTGTCTCAATTTAAATTGCATGTTTACAGTTTATGTAATTAAATTTTAATAATTTTCTTTACCTATTTTTATTACTCATTTTATAAAATAACATGTACTTCGTAATAGTCATGTTCTCTAGATTTGTACTCGTAGAATTTTTTTATATACTTTTAAAATTATATAATTTTTATTTTTAATTGCATACCAATTTTTAAATAAATTGAATTGAAAATAAATTTTTTCAAATATTGTAAACCGAATAGTTAACATAAATTGGTACGATATGTTACTATATTTAATTTGATTTTAGGGTTTGTTGAGAAGGGGAAAAATAATTTCTAGTTTCAATGGAACCACTCTCTTGCTTCTTGGATCAAAACTCATTAATGTTGGCAAATTATTATGTGGTTTTTGTGTCCACATTTATTTTATGGATCATAGTATATAAACATTATAAAAGAATTGAGTTTTTTCTAAAAAGGAGCGTCTAAAATGACACCAGTTACTTATACACCAATTGCTTACACCAATTCGTTTGGGGTACCTACGGCGGTTCCTACCCCCCTAACCCCCCCTAAACCCCCCACTCCATCCCCACCCTTTCCTCCCCACCCCAGCCCCCCCTCCCGCCCCCCTCCCTACCCTGGCAGTACACTGCCAGGGTAGGGAGGGGGCGAAAGGGGGGGCTGGGGTGGGGGGTTTAGGGGGAGGGTTAGGGGGTAGGAACCGTCGTTTTTACAAACGGAGCACCGTAGGTACCCCAAACAAACTGGTGTAAGAAAATGATACGAGTAGCACTGATGTCATTTTAGACTTACCGTTTCTAAAAAAGAAAAAAACTACTTGTAAGCTTATTAAAAGTCTAATATGATTCATATTTCACGTATGAACTTTAGAATCACAAAAAACACAACTTCATCATGTTTTATACTTTTATTACTTCGTACTCCATATGTTTTAACAAAAATTATCCTCTCTCTCTTTCTTTTTTTTTTTTCATTTTCCAAACTTTCAACCGAACACCAAAAAATGAATTTACTTCCCACGAGTCATTTCCCCGGAGCTCATTTTTCAGAAGCCATTTTCCATCTTTCAAAATGGACCCTTAAAGATTTTTATTTTCAACTTTTTTCCCCATGATTTAATTTTAGCTATGAATTATAAGTACATATGGAGTACAAACTAATACGGAGTATTTAGAAAACATTTCTTCCTGAAGTCTTTTAGATCACATGTTTCATACAAGGTTGTCAAAATCATTTTTAACACTTTCCCTAGCATTTCCCAGGATCCAAACATACCTTAAGAAATGAAGGGAACACAGGTCTTCACCATATCATATCATGAAAACAGCTAAACTAACCAAGAATCCCAATAAAGCACCAGCTATGACCTCAATCACTGAGTGGCCAACAGATTCCTTCAGCTTATGATCTTTGAACGGTTTGGATTCGTTTTCAGCACCAGAGGTAACAAACAGGTAATGATCCTTCATTGATGGTTCCAAAGAACTCGGATCTTTGGGCAAGCAAGTTTCAAGAATCTGTACATTTGACGCTGATTTTGCTTCCAAATGATCTGTCAAAAGAACACCACCGTTGGAGGAACTTTGATTCAAACAAGTTTCTAACAGAACCTGATTCAGCACTTTTCCATGGACTCCAACTTCCCTTCGAACGCCCTACAATAGCCAAAGAGTTAAATAACTTAATATGGAGTAGAATGCACGAAGGACCATTGAAGTATCACTTGCATGGATAGTTCTCATTTTCCTCAGTTTTGTAAGCTACGTTTGGAATCGGGATAATGTAAGGGAGATGGGAAAAATAAGAAAGAAAATACATGTGTTTGCCTTTGGTTTTACCTTGGGAAATAGAAGGCAAATCAAATTTGATTAAGACTTTAAAACTATCTTATATTTACATCTCTTAATATTTACTCCGTATTTAATGGAAAAATATGCATAGAAAGAGTTTGACAAGTATTTTATATTGATCTATTGAGTTTGAGCCAATTTCATATTTTCTCCCAAAGTTCCACTTCATTTTACTCCCTATCTTCTTCTCCTAGCATTTCCTGGATTCCAAACAGGCCCTTAGTAGCTAGATATGACTTGAAAGGCTGAGATGTATTGATTAAAGAAATGAGATTGAAAAATGTTGACGTAGAAGTGTAGAACAAGTAACCCAGATTGAGAATTGCTGACATAGAACTACAAATAAATTCTTAATGTCCACGTGAAACCTATTAGAAATTAGAACACCGATAGATTTGTAATGTTATATGAAACCAGCTATGAACACTTGTGAATAAACATAGTAGTGGGGGAGGCTCTACTAAGGGAGCAAAACAATCATATTCAATTAAATCATGCCTTTTCCCCTCTTGATGGGGTGGGTAAAAGAATCATATTCATAGAATCTATGATATATTTGGTGGTGGTTATTAACCGGGTTCTGTTCTTCCGAACCGGTTAGATATGGTCGAGTTGGGCTAGTTGGACTGGGCTGCAAAGAGAGAAAACCAGGGATCTTTTTGGGTGTTACCTTGCTAACATGTGAAAGAGAGTATTAGTTTCAATACAAAGTGTAGTGACTAGGTCTTATCTGACAATGTTTAACTTGATTACAAAAGATTAAGCAAATAAAGCAAAAACAAGTCAACACAAACCTGTGCATCATACATGACAAG